TATCTATATATATATATATTATAATTCAAATACATTTTAAAACGTAAAGAAAAATAAAATAACAACAAAACAAATATAATACAAATAATGCAAAATTCTACTTTATATAATCATGATAAAGAAAAAGAAAATTAAGAATAAACATTTAAAAAAAAAAAAGAATAATAAATAATATATGTAATATAATATAAAAATTTATTAAAATCCATTTAAAAACGAAAGAAAAAGAATAATAAAAAAACTAAATAATAATAAAACAAATAATAAAAAAGGCAAGGCACATTTATTTATCTAGCACACTTCATAGTGCAGAATGCTTTATATAGTCATGATAAAGAGAATGAAAAGTAAAAGACAAATAAAAATGCACATTTTAAATCAGAAATAAGATAATAAATAATAAATAGAAACAAAAATATATTTACTATAAATATATGTAATCCAATAAACAATAAAATAAATAAAAAAAGGAAAGAAAAATTATAAAATAAATAATAAAAAAGCAAGGTCCTGGGTTTTGATTCCCAAAGATAAACACTGATAAAAAATGCTAATAAATGCTAAAAATAAAAATGCATAGAAAAAAAGAAATATTTAATATATGTAATCCAATATTAAAATGGATTAAATATATAATCTGTCCACCAAGAGGGACGGTCCAGAGTAACCTAAGGTTGCCTGATGGTGGCTTATTCCTTATGGAGATCGAACCAGAAACCTTCTGGTTACCAGCCCTAAGCTTTAACTAACGCACCACAAAGACACCCTGCATGGAAGTCATTGTCTAAAACGCACATTGATAAAGCAGTGTGCTCAAGAAAAGCCAGAATGATTATTCCAGTCATTCTTTGAATCAATATATTGATTATGGTGAGCTGGAAATCCATACAGTGACAGGTGGAAAACAACACACATGCTATGAATAAACTCCCTGCTACGGCATATTCCTGAGACACTACTTTACACAAACTCATCAAAATTCCACTACGCTCCCGTCCGTTTTCAATAATTCAACAGCTGTGCGGCTCACAATTATGCAATCTACCTGTCTGACAATCCAGCAGGGCGACCTTGAAGACGTACAGAACATTGAACTGATAACTTTAAACCGTTGCCCGTGCATGAGGATGATGAAGAAGTAAACTTTTCAAAGACACCTTTTTTTTTTTTTGTATCTTTGTGTTTGAATTGAAAATCTGTCTGTTTCGCAACTGTTGCACTTGAATGTGTTATGGCCAGCAGACAGAATCTCTTTGATAATATGAATTGTGTGTGAGAACACAATTCTGCAGTTTTGCCTGTGTTACATGGGTCCATTTATGGGACTTTAATACAAAAATGTGTAAATGTATTAACCCAAAAATGTGCCACAGGTCTGTTCTGATAGTGTTGCAGACAGCAAGTCAAGTCAAGTCACCTTTAATTTATTTAGTTGTTTTAGTAATTGTATCTTTGTGTTTGAATTGAAAATCTGTCTGTTTCGCAACTGTTGCACTTGAATGTGTTATGGCCAGCAGACAGAATCTCTTTGATAACATGAATTGTGTGTGAGAACACAATTCTGCAGTTTTGCCTGTGTTACATGGGTCCATTTATGGGACAAAAATGTGTAAATGTATTAACCCAAAAATGTGCCACAGGTCTGTTCTGATAGTGTTGCAGACAGCAAGTCAAGTCAAGTCACCTTTAATTTATTTAGTTGTTTTAGTAATTCAACCTAAACTAAACAAAAATGAGAAAAAATGTGTTTTGTTTTAGTTATACACTCTAGAAAATGCTGGGTTGTTTCAATCCAACTTTGGGTCAAATATGGAATACCCAACCATTGGGTTAAATTTTAACATTATATATATATTATATTATAACGTTGGGTTAGTCCATATTTCACCCAAAGTTGGGTTGAAACAATCCAGAATTTTTTAGAGTGTAGTTTTAGTTAAAAAATAAAAGTTGCCGTTGACATCAAAATCGATGTTATTTTGATGCAAAGTCATCTATCACGTGGTAATATAGCTAATAATAATACAACATCTGACTTTTAACCCAAACGTTGGGTTAGTCCATATTTCACCCAAAGTTGGGTTGAAACAATCCAGAATTTTTTAGAGTGTAGTTTTAGTTAAAAATAAAAGTTGCCGTTGACATCAAAATCGATGTTATTTTGATGCAAAGTCATCTATCACGTGGTAATATAGCTAATAATAATACAACATCTGACTCAGTGTTGTTTGGCTGGCTAGCTTCATCAGTTAGGTAGTAGTTATGTCATAACTAGACCATTCTGCAGGCAAAATGCATCTTTCTCCATTGAGGGATGTTTAAACAGTGAATAACCACTACATTATTATAGGCCTACATATACATTTAATTTTTTTTGCATCATGATTTATGCATAACATCATATAAATATTCATATATCTTGATATCAATAAATAGGATTTAATAAACATATTTTTATTTTGCATGGCACTGCACTGTAAAAAATGGCTGTGAATTTAACGGTAAAAGACTGTAAAAATGCTACAGTAAAAACCTGTTAAATGGTTAACGGTAAATTCCCCTACTATATACGGTGAAAAACTGTATTGGACATTCATTTTACAGTAGTATACCATTTTTGGAAGTGAAATAGGCCGTATAATTTACAGTGAATAACCGTAAATTGACATTCCCAGAATTCCCTGCGTTACATTTCAAATTTGATGTTTTTTTGTTGAAATAACTACGTTTCTTCTTAGTTTTTTCTTATCAGTTTTGTATGTTACACCTAATGTTGTTAAATGAATGTTTATTGCATTATTTCAGTCTCGTGTGTTACCGTGATGGTGTTTAGTGTCTGTGTGAATGACGCTGTGTACCTTCTATATATGTTATTATTTAAAAGCTGCTTGTGATGGGCTTTGGTTCATCATGTGACTCTCATCACCTCCTGCATTTGGTGGTTATCAGTGTATTACAAAGCTACAAAACAGATGTCAGTGCTTCAATAGGTTGGTATATAATAACATTTTATCAGTTAATGAAATTATGGTATTTAACTGTAAATTTAAGTTAAAACCGTAAAACCTAAAACGCTGCTACCGTATTTTTTACGGTAAAATTCTGGTAACCACAGCTGCCGGTTTTTTACCGTAAATTTTACGGATTTTTTTTTACAGTGTGGCTGAAGTCACTTCTAAACATAATGAAATTCAAAATGATGAATTGCTAATGTTGAATGAAGACCATCATTTCTGAGCAATGATGGGAAATTAGTGTTTATTGATCTGGCA